TCATCATCATCATCGTTTTTATCATCATCATCACCATCATCATTACTATTATTATAATATCATCATCATCATCATCATCATCATCATCATCATCATCATCATCATCATCATCATCATTACAAAATACGTTGCACATGCAGTGATCAAGACGGGCAGCTCTGGCCTGATCGCCTACCGCTGGCAGAACCGGCACCTGGCCTGGCTGTGGCTACAGTCCAGTTGTAAAGTCATCTACAAGAATAGCAAACCAGACTTCATCATCTGTACACACAGGCAGCTCACGTGAGTCAAGGCTGGATATGGGTTTATGAAGAGTTTTAAAGCACTTGCAACTCTAATGATTATAGTACAGTTCCTATACGCGCAGAAGGGCAGATGTGTTACTAGTTTAAGTTTTAGTGAGACTTTTACGGCACTTGCAACACAAATTATAATAGGTCATTATTATAAGTGCTAAAGACTAGTAAGAGGTGCCACTAGTTTTAGTTTTTGTAAGAGCAAACTAGCGGAACAAATTAATAATCATAGGTCATTTAAGTGCCGAACGTTAGAGGCGTTACTAGTTTTAGTTTTAGGAAGAGCTTTACGGTTTCTACAACTTCAGTTGATCTACTTTTTAATTAAGGATGGTTAATCGCAACTGAGATCAGACATAATATACCTAAAATGTGTGCCAAATCCTAGGAAGCGTTTTACGGCATTTGCAATACAAATAGATCAAATAGGTGCCCACGATTAAATGAGTTACAAGAGAATAGCATACAAAGAAAAGAGGTAGGCGAGATAAGGGCCTTTGATGTTTAATAAGAAAGGATGAGCAAAACACACCAGAGCAACCGCAAACCACCCATGGGCTTATTTTTTTTCTTTTCTAATGTTCTTCCTACAGAGAAGACGAGGGTCAAGATCTCTACGGGAAGCGAGGTAACGAGTTCAAACTCCCTTACCCGCTGCTAGACATGGACTTGTGCACGGGCTTCGGATTCGGCGACGATGAATTGAACACAAAGAGCAAAAGCAGCAAAAGCAAGAAAAAATCTTCGGGCAACAACTGCAACAACTCGAGCAGCAACCACGCCGTTGCCGGGGCAACCGTTGCTAACAACGCCTACGGTAACACGGCAGGCGGGGGAGGGAAAGACTGTAACGGACAAAATATGTCCGCCAGCAAAAAACGAAAGTCCGGCTGCCTTATCAGCGGCGTGCCCGGGTACCCTACCTACCCGGCAGCCTTCCCGACTTACGACGGCACGGGTAGCGAGTTCAAACCCCCGGATATCCTCTACCCTTACACAGGGAACAACTTTAGCTTTGATACCGATTTCTACCGGACTCAGAATTACGGAGCTTTTTCTTCCAGCGTGTACCCGAGCAGTGATCCTTACAGACTGGATATGGAGAAGCACGGGCTGGGCAACGGCTATTTCCTTGACCACCGCCAGTACCAGCACCCCACCATTCCATACGGCAATAACGGTTACTCAGACTTTGTGACGTCATCGAAATATGGATACGACATGCCCAAATATGGTATCGACACGTACAGCCTGGACCTGACGAAGAGAGTGGAGGCGGCTGGGGATTTGAACCAGATCACTCAGGACTCCCGCCGATACTCCGCGGAGTTCCACCACCCCAACCACCCCGCCCACCCCAGCCCGCTCGGTCACCACCAACATCAGCAGCATCACCCCACCCACCACACCCAGGACCGCTACCACCACGCCCACCCCCACCACCCCGCCTCGCGTCTACCCGGGGCAACTTTTGACCCTGTAGATCTCAGAAGCTCCGCCGCCCTTTTCGGCACCAACTCTTTCATGAACCCCATAGAGGGCGCCGTGGCCCCACCGTGTGTCGCCGCCTCCTCTCTCTTCAAGCCTGTCCCCGCCCCCAGCGGTCATGTGATGAGCGTCAAGGACCAATCACCGAGCAAATCTACGAGCAGTGTGTGCTCGGGACTCGTGTCACTCAGCCCAGCGACAAACCCTGACCTAATTCCCACCCTCCCCCTCCCCAGTTTGCCTCACAGTACCGTCATCAAATCTACCGGCCAGCCGGAAGCCTCTTTGCAGCATCAGCAACAGCAACAACAACAACATCATCACCACCAACAACAGCATCAACAACAGCAACAACAGCAACAACAACAACAACAACACAACCAAGGACTCCTGACGTCACACTGCGTCGCCTCTTCATCCGGCACGGACTGTGTGACGTCATACCCTACAACAACTCGGTCACCCTGGAACTCTTGCCTTAAACCCTCCACGCCCGGCTGTGGCCAGTCTGTGATGACGTCACTGGACTCTGTCGGCTCTGGATGCATCTCAGCCTCTCATGAGCCAGGCCTTAAGTCCGTGATAGACACGGGCAAGCACGCGGTGGGAGGAGGAAGTAACAGCCCAGGCTATCTTGGGCGGCCCAGCTCCGGGGGACAAGACAGTCAGTCTAGGTGAGACTCAGTCAAAGATATCTCATGATCCAGTCAGTCTAGGCGAGTTTCTGTCAAAAATATCACATGATTCAGTCAGTTTAGGTGACTCTCAATCAAATATATCACATGATTCAGTCAGTCTAGGTGAATCTCAGTCAAAGATATCACATGATTTAGTCAGTCTGGGTGAGTCTCAGTCAAAGATATTGTTGTTACTTGAACATGAAAGAATATTCAACACTAACCTTTTGATTGCCTTCGGAGATGCGTTCATAACAAGGGTTAGCCAAACCCCCC